TCAGAGTGGGCCTTGACTGGGCCTTCTGTCTCCTGTCTCCCCCAGGGGTCCCTCTGGCTAGAGTGCCTCTTATCCTCCTTGAGACTGCCTATCTCTGTCCAGCTTGGTGATTGCCTTCCCCCACTCTCCTTAACACTATTGTAGATTCCGCGGATGGGTGTGTGTATGTGTCTGCGTCTGCGTCTGCGTGCACACGCTTGTGCACATATTGAGGCAGGAGGAGGAGGGAACACCAGGAACAGGTCAGCTTGTTTCTAAAGAAACTTCTTTTAGACAAATAAGTCAGTATGATGACTGCTGGGGGTAAAAACGCATACATCAGTCCCAGAATCTCCAGTGGAAAGAGCATTAGAGAAAGGAAAAGGAGACTAGGGGCTTTGTTATGTGCTAGCTGTGTGACCCTAGGTAACTTACTTAGTTTCTCTGAGCCTCATCTTTACTTTTGTGTAAAAGAGATTAAAACGCTTGCACTGTTTTATAGAAGACAGAGATTTGAAGTTTGCCTCTTCTGCTTACCAGCTAGATGACTTTGGGCAGGAGCCTTAATTTCATGGGTCTTGATTTCCTCTTCTTTAAATTGGGGATTAATAACAGTGCATTCGTCATAGGATTTTGGTGAGGACTAGATGAGATAATATGTGAAAAATGTTCAGCTGAGTCTCTGGCACATAGTAAGTCTTCAGTAAATGTTAGCATTTATTTTCACAGGATTGTTATTAAGGGCCAAGTGAAATTCTGTATTTGAAACTCTAGATTTACATTAAACATTATTCTCCTGAATCTGAGCTGCTCCGAAATGGAATGGTTGGGACGAGGCTGCAAGTCCCCGAGCTGGGTTCCAGACCCTGGCCTGCTGGCTGGGAAGCAGAGGTTGCAGGGTGTGACAGGGGAGAGGGAAGGCCACAGGCCCCAGTACTGCTGTGGACTCTTCTGCCTACGGCCGAATGTGTGTGTGTGCACACCTTCCTGTGGACATACACACGCACACATGTGTATACAGCAGGGAATAAAGGACCTCTATTGCTTTTGTGTGTTTTGGAATATAGTTCTTAATATCCAGGGGATAAGACAATGTTTTCTCCCCAGATAAAGTTGTTTCCAAAACCCATTTTGCCATGGAGCCCTATGCTGTCAGATTGGCCCCCACTTTGTGATGAGGCGCCAGTGGGTGGCATGGGGGCTGAGGCCTAATAGTTTCACTGTCCCCCTCCTGGCCCGCTCGCCCCAGCGTGACTGGACTCAGATGCCCTGGAGGCTGAGGCCCTACTGGGCAGGTCATGGGGCAGGGAGGCTCTGAGCCGGGCCCTCGTAGGGGTGAGATCATCCCACAGGATGGTGAGGACACCTGTGCTGACCGTGGCCACACACACAGTGATGTAACCAGGGGCTTTAGCTCACAGTGGAAACATGAGTTTCGCTTTACAGTCAGGCTGCCCAGAGTTTGTTCCTGGCCGACTCTGCTGCAGCCTTGCCTCCCTTGCTCCCTGCGCCTATATACGGTTCCTCAGAGTGCCCTTTGCTTTCCACCCTCATGCTCTGCTGTTCTGTTCCTTTGTCAGGCATGTCCTTCCCATCTACCTCTGGTTAGTTTGTCACTCATTCCCTTACTTACTCATGTACTCACCCATCCAGCAGATTTTGTTAAGTAACCACTATGTGCCAGGCACCATGTTAGGTGATTCGGATGTAGCAGTAAAGAAGATGTGATTCCTGTGCACAGGGGACATACAGACTCTAGGAGAGAAGGTGGAAATAGTTATATAGAGTATCTTGATTAGTGCTATGAAGGGGAAGTGCAAGCACTGAACCCACATTTTCTGAAATTCTGCCCGCCATTCAAGGCCAATTCAAAAGCTACTCCTCCCAGAAAACCTCTCCTGATTCCACAGCCAGGGGCGCTTTCTCCCTTCTCTGCACCCAGAGCACTTAGTGTATTGCTTCATTCATTCATCTATAAATACTTAATGAGCATTGATTTCATACCAGGCACTATTCTAGGAACTGGGGACACAGCAGTGAGTAACACAGACAAGTCGTGCAGCTGATGTTTCCACAGGCAGTTGGAGAAGATGGACATAAACAGAGTCATAGTGTATAATGTGTCAGGCAGCCATGCATTCTACGAAGAAAGATAAACATAGAGGGATGAGAAGTACAGGGCGAGAGAGTTGCTCTTTAATGCAGGGTGGTGAGGAAGGCCTCTTTGAGGAGGTGATGTGAGAACAGAGACAAGGAATTACGGTGTAGTGTTCACATAGGGTATGACAGGCGAGCCAGCAGGATCATGTGGCTGGGCTACAGCAAGCAAAGCAGAAAGTACTAGGTGAGGCCAGCGTGATAATAAGGCTCAGATCAGGGGGCCTTAATGAAGTGGAAGCTGTTGGGTATTTTTCAGCAGAGGAGTTCCATGGCCTGACTTTATTTTAAAGGGCTCCCTATGGGAGCCCTTGCTGTTCTGAGAATGGGCTCAAGAGCGGCTAGGATGATAGTAGTGAGATCTGCAAGGAAATTATTGCAGAAATCAATGTTTGAAGTGTTGGTGATGGACCAGACTGATGATGGGACTGGCAAGAAGTGATCAATTCTGGATATATTTTGAAGGGAGGGCGCTTAGGATTGTCTGATGGAGTGGATGTGGGAAAAGAAAAGAATAAAGAATCTCATGTTTTGGCCTGAGCCAAAGTAGAAGGATGCAGTTGCTATTTACTGAGCTATGTGGGGACTGACATTGGAGAGAGGGGAATAAGGAGCTTGGCTTGGGCCACGTTAACTTCGATACCTATTAGACTTCCAAGTGGATGTCAGGTCCACAGAAAGAAGAACCAGGAGTTCAGGGGAGAGGGGCTGCATATTCAAACTTGGGGGTCATAAGCATATAGATATTTAAAGGCCACAGGCCAGGATTAGTCCCCCTAGATCAGCGGTTCCCAACCTTTTCAGCTCCAGGGACCAGTGCACTTATGAGAATCTAGTGCCTGATGATCTGAGGTGGAGCTGAGGCAGTGATGCTAGTGCTGGGGAGTGGCTGCAGATATGATGAGGCATGGCTCGCCTGCCACTCACCTCCTGCTGTGCATCCTGGTTCCTAACAGGCCATGACTGGTACTGACTGGTCTGCAGCACTGGGTTCGGCGACCCCTGCTCTTGGTTATATGGAGAGAGAATGGAAAGTGGTTCTGAGGCCTGAGCTCCGGGACTTCTCACATTTACAGGCCTAGGTGGAGAGGATGGAAAAGATTAGGAAAAGCAGCCAGTGAAGCAAGAAAGGGCCCTCAGGAGTAGTGTCCAGAAGCAAGTGAGGAAAAGGTTTCGGAAGAGGGATCAATGCTGATAGGTTGGGTAGGTGAGGCTGAGTCAGCATTGGATTTGGCAATGTGTGAGTCACGGGTGACGTGGACAAGAGCAAATCCCGATTCACTGGCGGTACTAAAGCCTGATTAGAGGACAGAGAGTGAAGACAGCGAGTACAGACAAGTCTTTTACATTTTTCTGTAAAGTAGAGAATGGAGAAATCGAGGTAGGAGCTAGAGAAGGACTGGGCCAAATGAAGTTTTTTTAAAGAAAAGGAGACAGTACGACAGGCTCGTAAGCTAGCGGGAATGATACAATAGTGAGGAAAAGTTTGATGATGCAAGAGAGCAGGACAGTAGTTGGAGAGATGTCCCTGATGAGGCAGGAAGAGGTGGGATCCAGTGTGGGTGGCTTTAGCTAGGCATGTGGGCAGTTCATCCAGACAGTAGGGAAGGCAGAGCAGGTATGAACAGATGCAAGTGTGTCTCTGCCTTGTGCGGGAACCTGTCTTGTCTTTTCTTCTGTGTAGTAGGTTCCCTGAGAACAGAGACCCTGTTCGTCAAGTTTTTATATCATAACCTTCACTTGAGAGTCAGCTCCTACTTAACATATATGTATTTGAGGCAATATATGTTAGGAGTCTTAGATTTCTAATAAATATTGCAAATCAGTTGGAGTTAGCTTAAAAAAACGAAGCAGAATTCATTGGTAAGGCTAGACAGGCTTTTTATTGAATTGACAAGTAGGAGTACGGCCATGGCCAGGCAAGGAATGGAGCCAGTATTTGGAAGGATGTCAGCACTCTATCTGGTTCCTAGCTTTTATTATATCCTGAAAATCAACTTCGTTTTTCCATTTCGCTGCAGATCAGCTTTGTCTGCTGCTTAGTCTGTGTAGCAGAAGATGATTGTACCTCTTTAAAGTTATATTTCCAGACATAAGCATAGATTGTCTCTAGGGCCTAATTCCCAAATCCTAGGTCAAAGAACTGGATTAGATTAGTTGATTGGGTGTCCATTACTGGACCAGTCAGCCGTGTGGCCATGGAAACAGGGAACATGTGACTCTAGTAGTTGGAAGCTCTCTTGGTGGGTAGGGCCAGAAGTCGCCAGAGAGGAGGGCCTGGGAAGACACTTCAGTCAGTCTCATGTAGTGAGTGGTAGGTAGGTAGGTAGATGTGTGTGGGGTGGGGGGGCGAGGAGGGGCGCGCGGGAAGATGGAGGGATGGATGGATGGATGGATGTTTTAGCTGTGTCATCAAATAATCCTAACAGTCCAGGAACCTGGAATGAAAGAAGGATGGCTCTCTGCAGTGGTCTTAATGTCAGAGTGCTGTGGGGAGACTTTTGCGAATAGAGCTGTTACTACAGCTGAGGATGTAGAGCAGGCCACTGAAGAAAGGAAGCTTATTGCTACCAGCCAAGGCTTTCTAGAAACTTCTTTCTTTTTTTCTTACCAGGAAGCTAGGAGTATTCTCCTGCATAGTTGATTTGCCTTCCAGCCGCTAAAGAGTAACAGTTTTCATCTTTGACAGGGCCTACCTTCTAAAATTAAGCTGAGCCATACGATAGCCTTGTTCTTTTAGCAAGCCTGGGGCAGGCGGGCCAGTCCAGTCTCTTCGGGTAGTTTGAGGAAACCATGGTGTCCTTCTCTCCTCCCACTATTTGGAACTGGTCTTCCTATAACTCAGTCTCCTGCTTCCTTCTTAGGATACCCAAAGCCAGAGGTGACCTGGTACAAGGATGACATGGAGCTAGACCGCTACTGTGGCTTGCCAAAATACAAGATCACTCATCAGGGCAACCGTCACACACTGCAGCTCTTTAGGTAAGGGAGAGGGTCCTTCTCTGTCCTCTGTGCCCTTCTGAGGGTCCAGTGGCCCAAGCCTGCCCTTAGGAGTGGAGTTAGCTGGATGAAGATGCGCAGGCAGGATCTGGAGGTGGAGGGTGAGGTGCTGCTGCTGAGTTGAACCACCTGGTAAACTGCGTCTGTCTGTGGCGTCTGGGATCTCCTAAGGCCAGGGTGGGAGTGTTTCTGACAGCCCGAGAGCTGAGTGCAACCATAGGAGGTCCTGACCCACGGAAGCATTTTCCATGAGATCAGCTGCCAAAAAAAGGTCCTGTGTCATTCTTTACAAGGGGCTGTATGGGTCACCTGCTTTTGAAGGGAGCTCTCCTGGGCCCCAAGTCTAATCCCTCCTGGAAAAGCATGACCTTGGTCAGCTCCCGCCCTCTTGCTGGCTCAGTTTCCTCAACTGCAATGGAGAGTGTTGGACGTGCTTATGTCTGAGGTGGGCTTGACACTTGGGGCAGGACTTGCAGGGGCTGGGGCAGCTCACTCGGCTCTGAGAGGCTCTGGCTGCGGGGAGTGGGAGCCTCTCATCTCCCAGGAGCGGAGAGTTGGCATCTAATGCTCCTGCCTCCAGGTGTCAAGAAGACGATGCCGCCATCTACCAGGCCTCTGCCCAGAATTCCAAGGGCATAGTGTCCTGCTCCGGCGTCCTAGAGGTGGGCACCATGACTGAGTACAAGATCCATCAGCGCTGGTTCGCCAAGCTGAAGCACAAGGCTGCGGCAAAGATGCGTGAGATTGAGCAGAGCTGGAAGCACGGGAAAGAGGCAGCAGGAGAGGCCGACACCCTGCGCAAGCTCAGCCCCGACCGCTTCCAGCGAAAGCGGCGGCTGAGTGGGGCTGAGGTGCCAGTCCCCTCGGCTCCGACTAGAGAGGCTGAGGACAGCACCCAGGTGGCTTGGCAAGAGGTGGGGACTGAGTCTAGTCAGCACCCCGGTTTGGGCCTGATGAACAATTTTTCCTCCGGAGAGGTTACCACCAATGGGGATGCTGCCCCTGAGAATGGGGAGGCTGGGGAGCACGGCCTGTTGACATACATCTGTGAGGCCATGGAGCTGGGGTCTCAGAGAGCCCCCAAAAAGGAGTCTGGGGCCAAGAAGAAAAAGAAAGATGAGGAACCTAAGCCAGGCCTACGGAAGCCAGAGTTAGAGAAGGCAGCGCTAGGCGACCATTCTGAAAACTGTGGCCCCAGTACAGACAAGCCTGACTCTTGTGGGACACAGAGGCCCATGGACACAGAGCAGGTTCACACCCAGCCCAGAGGTAGGGCTACGCGGGGGCCTACGTCTTCCAGAGTAGATAGTACCAGGAAGCCAGCTTCTGCCATGGGCTCTCAAGACCAGGCCCAGAATGCCTTGCCCGCAGCCCCTCATGGGGAGGGGGTGTCCCACACCCCAAGTGGCAGGGCGCCTGGAGAAATGCCCTCAGGGAAGATGCCCGGTGAGGCCACAGGTGAGAGGGGGCCTACTGCTCCTGGCCAGCCCACACCCTCAGCCCCCCAGCCAAATAGGCCTTTCAACAGGAAGAGATTTGCCCCTCCGAAGCCCAAAGTGGAGCCAACTGCCAACAGCAAGCCTGATTCTTCCATGAGTCAGGCTCCAGGACCTGGAGCCCAGAGCTTAGGGAAGGCCCCACCTGAGGACTCTCCCCAAGTGCCCACACCCCCTGCCCGGCGGAGACACGGCACCCGGGACAGCCCCCTGCAGGGACAAGCAGGCTACAGGACTCCAGGAGAGGTAAGTGCGGGTGCTGGGTGCCTGGAGGCTGCTCTGGGAAGCTGACCTCATGGAAACTCTTGCTGCAACAGCTCGGCAGCCAGTGAGCAGTGGGATATTTATAGAAGGGGTGGGGCGAGGATGGAGTGCCAGCCAGGAACAGGGGGCCACAGGCCCGGCCAGGCATGTGGGCAACACAGCCTGACTGACCCTCTCATCTGACAGTGTGGGAGTTCACAGCCAAGAGGACTGTGCCCCAGAGGGAGGTGGGGGAAGACTACATTCTTTGGAGAGGAAGGCAGTGGAGGGTTTTCTGGGAGCTCTCCTGAAGCAACAGTTCACAGAGCAGGAGTGTGCTGTAGAAAATTTTAAAATATCAAATGTCTAGGGAATTCTGGTTTAATGTGGGTTTCTATCTTTTGGAGTCAAGTGTACCTACATGTGACTCTAGCTATCCTTTACATTGTGTGACCTTGGACAAGTTGTAAAATCAGAATAATAATGAGACGTTCATAGGGCAGTTGCAAGAATCGACTTGTGCACAAGTCGATATGCACAAGACCTTGCTTAGCACAGGTCTTGTGCATATGAAGAACTAAATAAGTGGCAGTAGGTATACGATACTCCTGTAGTGGAAGGCAGAGGTAGACTGTTGTACATAGGAACAGAGTGTGTCATCATTTTCTGGGGATCAGATAGCCAACAGAAAAGATGATGTTGTGTGGAGACGTGGTTAGAGGGTCTCTGCTCTTCAAAGAAAGAGGCAGGAGTGGGGGGACAGCACTAAGGTGTTTGAAGGGGAGGAGAGGCGGAGAGAGTGGGATTGAGAGAATGGACAGAGGGGGAACAGTTTGTCTCGGTTGGTCACTGTTCCATGTTTCAGGGAGCAGAGGGCAGGCAGTATGTTGCAGGAGTTCAGTGAGCCAGAGTGTTTTATAGTGGGGCGGAACGAGGAGTTTTCTTATGAGTGGCAGAAAGAAAAAGTGTTTCAGGAGTTGGGGTAAGGTGTATAAGATACATAGGGTGTACATACACTGAGAAATTATTGGTGGTTTATCTGAATTCATATTTAACCAGGTATCTTTTATTTCTTTTTGCTAAATCTGGCAACCCTAAGTGGAGACAGCGTTTTGGCGGGAAATAAGATGACACTGTTCCTTGGGATGGAGAGAGCAGGAGTCTGTGTCCCAGGAAACAGGAGCTGCTGCAAGCAGTGTGTCACAGGAGTTGGGCAGAGGACAGATGGCTTCTTGGAACTGTGAGGGAAATAGATGAGGGACAAGCTGCTATAGCACCTCATGGAGGGTGAAGTGAAAGGGATGCTTCATGGACAGGGAGGACCTGCCCTTCTCATCAAGAGATCTTTCATGAGGGACAGAGGAGAGACCGGTTTCAAGTGTGAACAGGGAAAATGGTTTTATTTCAGTGGGTACTGAAGTCAGTCATTCAGAGGGCGATGGAGTGGGGCAGACCTCAAACCAGTCTCTGGAATCTGTTCATTGCCCTCAGGCCCTCATACTCAGTCTCAAGAGATTTTGGCATCTGGTGTGATGAGTTTTAGTGGCCTAGAAGGGGCCGCTCCGTGTGCCTGACAGCCTACAGGCTGGACAGCAGGGCCATGTTGTAGGATGGTCCTCATGGGCCCCTAGGGAGCTCATCTGGGAAGTGACCAGGCTGACTGCCAAGTCTGGGATTGAATCTGTCTTCTCTGCCCACAGCGGTAGAGAATGCCACAGCCGGGATTCTGAGAGGGCCCTCCATGCCTCTCAGTGGTGGGATGAGAGGGCTCGGGTGGCGTAGGCTCGGCAGAGGCTGACTGCAGTGGTTCTGCCATTTCTGCAAAAAGCATATATGGCTTTTTATTTTTTCATATTTTAGAAAAATTATGAGATATATACATATGAAAAATGCATTTAACATCTACATATATTTTGATGCTTTTGTTTTTTAGTGGCTGAATTTGATTGATTTTTCATATTCTCATACTTCCAGAACTTCTTAAAAAGCACATTATTTTTCTGATTATGAAAGAAACACATAGCCATAGTAGAAAATAATTGAGGGAAGCCCTAAAAATTCAAAGGAGAAAGTAAAAATTCACTTATAATTCTACCATAAAGAGACATCTTGGTGTATCTAACAGCCTTTCTGCATATGTAGTTTTATTGGTTTTTAAATTTAATTTGCACTATTATTCTGATCAAATTTTACATCCTGCCTTCTTTCTTCTCATTATTTCATGAGCATTTTCTCATGGTTTCTAAAAATTATCTGAAAAACTTCAGTTTTAATGGTTGTATATGATGCCAGGGTATGCATATTTTAACCATTTCTTCCGTAGTGTTTATGCTTCCCCATTCCAAAGTTAGTTAAAAATGCATCTGTATTGTTTGAATTACTTCATTTTACTTTTAAATTAATCTGGAATTAATTTGCTTGTGTAAAGCATCAGTCTCTAGCTCAATTTTTGGTTAATAAATAGGTAATTTCCCTGATTATCATTTCTGCAATATTCAACCTTTATCTATTAGTTTGTAATAGTTCCTTAATATACTAATTTTTATACACACTAAAGTTTTAGTTCGTATACATATGTTTGTCATAATCCATTAATCTGTTTATTGATTTTTACAATAGAAGGATCTTGTTTTAATTATTATAGCTTAATTTTTTGATAGAGCAACCCTCTTATACTTCTTTTAAAGCTTTTCTTAGCTATTCTCTCATGTTTATTTCTCTAGGAAAACTTTAGAATCATTGTTTGAAATTCTCCAAATTTCTAGATACCATTGTTTTCCACTTTGTATCTTTATAGTCACCATTTAAAAAACTATGTTTTAAAATGATGAATTATTTTTAAGAAGATCAAAAGGCCTGTTAAATCCTTTCATGGACAAATTAAAGTCAAATTTGCACTTCGAATGTTCTTTTAGTAAAACTTGCTAGATATATATTTTTAAACAACTTTATTTAAGTATAATTTATATACCGTAACATTCACCTATTTACATCGCACAGTTCCATGTGTGCAGTGCAGAGTTACTCAGTCATTACCACAGTCCAGTTTCCATCACTGTGAAAAGGTCTCCATTCCGTTTTGCAGTTAATCCTTGTTCCCACTCCCAGATCCAGGTGACGACTGAGCCGTTCCTTCCATCTCTGTACCATTGGTATTTTGATTGGGATTGTATTAAGTATAAGAATTAATTTGGAAAAATCAATATCAATATTTATCTTTCTCATTTGGGAACTAGGTATTTATTTCAGTAATTCAAACCTGTCTTATCTTTTTTAAATATGGTTGTCTACTTCATATGGGCCTAGCATGTCTCTTGCTAGGATACTTTAAGGGTTTCTGCTTCTGGAATATGACGCCACTGCCCTCCTAGTCTGTCTTGATTTCCCTTCCTGGAAATAAGTGGGTCTCTGGTAGCTCAAGTGAGGCTTCCATCTTGGATATGGATGAGGAGCAGATGCTAGAACAGAGGCCTCTTGGGTTAAGAACGTCCAGAGACCCTCCCCTCGAGCCCAGCCATACTGTTCAGACAGCTCTCTCCCTCTGCAGAAGCAGTCTTGCCTAAAGATACTTAGTGAATGGGAACTAGCCATCAGTACCCTCAAAGGCTGCTTTTTAGTGCCCCAACATGACATCTTTGTGGCTGCTTCAGATCTCTGGAGCTGCGGTACAGGAGTGTGGGGACATCTGCCCAAATCTTCATAGGGGACAGTGGAGGTGTGGGAGAGCTCAGCTGAATGCCTTGAGACCTCAAAGTGTCTTTTTTTGAGAAGCCCTGTAAGTCCTGAAGATAACATTCCAAAATATGGGCACTCCCCTCCCATAATAAGCGCTGTTTGTTCTTGAGAGAATACATGAATAAGTGTTTTCTGATAGCGTTGACGGGAGGGGGCTTGAGGAGAGACATGACCCTTGCCTGAAGGAGTTACCAGTGAATCAGGAGACTAGACTCACACCAGACCATAAAGACCTAAGAGCAGAGGATCTGGGTGAAATGCATGGTGCAGCTATTTGATGACTTCGATAAGCAGATAGTAGCAGACAGATTGGGGAAGAAGACCAGAATTCAAAGTACAAGTGCACTGGTAGTGTTTACCTTTTTCTTTTTTCTTCATTCTTCTAGTATTCCCTGACCTGCTCTCAATGCAGTTGGGAACTCAGAAGTAAACATCAGCATGGACAGAGCGAGTTTCAGGAAAAGCCCTCTAGATCAGGCTTGATGAATAGGAAGGGATCTCTGGTAGTGGCAGCAGTGGCAGCAGAGGCAGCAGAGGCCATAGATGTCTAAAGCTTTGAGGTGGGAAATCTTCCATTTGGAGGAGTTGTGGTACCAGGAGCGTGGGATGAACCCCTGTTGCTTTTTTTCTCTCTTGGGTCTCTTCCCCAGAGCACAGGATCATATGTGACATGTATGAAAATATGTGACAGAGAAGGATAAATGAAGGCCCAGCTATCTGGCCAGAAGGACTTAAAAAGTACAGGAGAGATCATGGAGAGGGAGAAATTTGAGAAAGTGACTTCATAAGCTTTTTATAAATTTCTGGGCTTATTCCCAAGCCGTTCATGAACAGCCTATCAAAAATGTCAAAAATGGAAAAAAAAAATGTTGAAAATGGAGCTAAGAGACTATCTCATCCAAGTCTCAGACTGGCCACTGGGTGGCACACACATAGGACACAGATTATAGCACTGCAAAGGCTTTGAAACAGAACTGACATTTCAACTATAATCTCGGACGGCTGAATGGAACTTGAACACAACCAAGTAGATTGTCTGCTAAGTAAGACAAAGTATCCACATTCTCCACAGAATTTATACAAGAAACAGAGTCTCATTTAAAATGTTCAGGATACAATAAAAATGACTTGACATATGAAAAATAGGAAAACATCAGTTTACATGGCAAAAGACAGTTAAAGAATGCCAATGTCAAGATGGCAGAAATGTAGGAATTATCTGACTTTAAAGCAGGTACTGTAAAAATGTGACAAATAAGGGTGAATAC